TTGTCACAGAAAAATGCAGAAATTGATAAGGGAGGGGATAATGGGTAGCAAATCTTGGAAGTCACTGTAGAAGGCTGCTATGTGGGAAGGTTATTTTTTTTTTCTACTTCCATTTAAGGCTCCAGAGATGAAGCTAGGGAAGTTCCACTTGCTCATTCCTAGTCCCTGCATAGAAATGTCCTGAAATGTTGGAAAAACCAATTTAATTAAAAACATGTGAAAGAAAAGTCTGCAAATGAACCTCACATAATAATGTTGTGAAAAAAGTTCACTGAATAACGCACTTATAGAAAAAATTTTTAAAAACATCAGAAAAACATATTTCTGAAAGACAAAAACTCAATGTGACTTTTCAAAATTGAAAACAACTAGGTGGAAGGATAGAAACTATGAGAAATCAACATCAATCAGAATAAGTGCTCAACTTTCTCCTTGCTTCCTTAAGGCTTCAGTCTAAAACCATTTGGGCTGAGCAAGGTAGGCTCCAGTGAAGGAGACAAGTGGATAGAGGCCCAGCATAGGGTGTTGGCAGCATTGATTATATGGCAACATCTGAGTAAGTATAGACAGCATCCATTCACTTTGGATTAGATAGCCAGAGCATGATTATTCTGGACAGGACTTTATGCAGAGTGAGAGAGTAGTGGAAACGGATCAACCTCAAAATGTTGCTGGAGTCTGAGTATACTGAAAAGGGTATCACATGAATCTTGATAGAATTCAAGCAGTGTGAAGAGGACCACTAATATGGAAGATAGTAGCAGTGGCTTGGTGAGGAATATTGTAACTCAAGTGACATGAGTGGTGACTCAGAAAAGGATGTGGAAACTGAGTTGAGAAAGGTATCTGTACAAGGGGACAGTGACAGTGGCCTGGAGTAGGGCTATGAAGCCCCAAAAGGGTAGGATAGTGACAATGGAAATTTGATTATATACAAAGGGGGTTGATCAAATAAGCAATGTATAGAGAATGATAGAAATTCAATTTCTCACTAGCATATAAATTATAAATTATAAATATGGAATGAGGGGGAAATAAAACCAGAATGAATCCTAGATGTAAATGTGTGTGTTTATGTACACATTTGTATGTTCTCTAGAGGTGACTGTGGATAGACCTAGTACAGAGACACTTCAATAACAATAATCTTGCCTATCACTCATATTTTGCTTTCTAGATGTCCTTTCCCACTAAACAGAACTAGAGACCTTCATAGGGAAAGTATAAAATGAGACTGGAATATTTGCCTTGGGCAAAATAAGAATATGTTCAAAGAATGTTGGGGAATGCTGGAAGGACACAAAATTAAATTTGAAATGACTCTCACAGGCCAAATTTGAACATCAAAATAGCCAAGGCCTGGTGGTGCATGCCTGTAATGCCAGTTACTCAGGTGGCTGAGGCAGGAGGATCACAAGTTTGAGGCTAGCCTGGGCATCTTATTGAGTGAGACTGTGTATCAAACAAAAGAAAAAAGGGTGTAGCTCAGTGGTAGAACACTTTGGGTTCAAGCCCCGGTGCACAACAAACAAAAGTAGTAGAAAAATAATTATTTGAACAAAACAGTAATTATGAATTAATGTGTATAATCAAAAAATAAGAGAAGAAAATTCTCTTTTAAAGAAATTTATTTTTTAGCTTTAGGTTGACATAATATCTTTAAATTTTATGTGGAGCTGAGGATTGAACCCCAGTGCCTCAGGCATGCTAGGTGAGCACTCTACCGCTGAGCCACAAACCCAGCCTGAGCCTTTTTCTTATAGAAGAATGCCAACTAATAAGTACAAAAGAAATATTGGAATTGAAAAATTACTATCTATTAATAATCATGATAGTAATTAATTCAGTTGAAAATCACTAATGCATATTAAAACTAGTTGATGAAAGTTGAAAGATAATGAAATGTTTGTGAAGTTCTATAGTTTGTGTCTTGAATGTCCCTACAGGTCCATATGTCAAAGACCTGGTAGCTAGCTTGTGGTGCTCTTGCAAGGTGGGGGAACTTTTAAGAGGTGGGGTCTAGTGGAAGAAAGGCACAACCTTAATGGGAACATTGGGATCTGCACTCCTTCTTCTGTCTTTGCTTCCTGGCCACATGAGGTGCATAGGCCTCCTCTGCTATGTATTTCTGTCATGATGTACTATACTACCAAGTATACAAAGCAATAGGGCCAAGTGATCTTGAACTGAAACCTCTAAAACCATGAATTGAAATAAACCTTTCCTCCTTTTAATTTGATTATTTTTTGGTATTTTGTCACAGCATTGAAAAATTGTTATGTGGTCTCAAATAATCTCCCTGCAAAATAGTTGTTAATTACAAAGAAAAAATGAGTAATTTTATAGAAGAGGAATAATTTTGTTGCCAATTAACATCACTAGTGATGAAACAAAATCATATGCCCCTTGATAGAAATATTAGTTTATATGACATTCCTGCCAAAGATGTATATCCCGAATCAAGCAGAAATATCAGGCAGGCTGAATCTGAGGGACATTCACAAAGTACTAGCCTAAGTTATTTAAATTATTGAGATCATTTTTGAAACTCAATAAAAGATTATGAAACTATTCCAGGTTGGGGGTGGGGGAGCTAAAAGGACATGGCAACTATCAGCAATATTGTGAATATTGGGTTCAGGTATTTTGCTATGAAAATATGACTGAGAGAAACTGATGAATTTAGTGTCTGTGGTTTACATGATAGCAGTGTATCAATGTTAATTTTGTAATGGGGATTACTGCATTGTGGTTATTTGGGAAAATGTCACTGATTTTAGGAAACACACTGAAGAATCTGGGGCTTATGAGGCATAGTGGCATTGACTTATTCCCAAATGGTCCAGAAAAAAATAAATTCTGTTTGATCAAATTAAGATAAGGTTAAATTATATGACTTAGTCTAGAGTTTGGTTGCATTAGAAAGTAAGTATGCAGCAAAACTTAGAATTCACATAGCTAGAAAAAATGACAAGAAATGTTCAATAAAGACTTGTATAAATCATTTCAGACATGAACACTGTACTTCTAGCCTCTGCTTTCAATGTGAAAAGATGTTAGGAAAGTATGTATCCTACTGCAATAACTATAAAAATGTGTAAAGTAATAAAAAGTCAAATATTTTAAAATAACATTTTAAATAACATATTTAAAATAATATGTAAATTCAAAGCAAAAAGAAACTCAATTCCAGAAAAGAACAAGCACTTATTAGTAGGACAGAGACAAACAGTAAATTTCTTCCTTGAAGATACCTGAAACCTTTTCACTGCTGATGAAAGAATAGGCTTGCCATAGACAGATTTGGGTCACTAGGAGACACCAGCATATTTTAAAATTTGATTTTATTATTTTTTTGCCAGCATATTTTTAAAACAGTCTTTTGGGAAGAATGGTAAAGATCATCACTATGCTAGCCACAAGAAAGGGGAGTCTATAAACTTCTGCACACTGCATCTTGGGCTGCTGTTTAGATTCAGCAATGCACTGATTACCCATTTGAGTCCAATGAGATAGAACATACACACACACAAACATGTTATGTGAAGTGGGTTTATTATTTCCATATAGGCCACAAGGGAAAGACCTCTCAGATCCATTGTGAGCTCATCCCCTAAGGCTCAAGAAATCTGTCCTAGAGAGACAGACTTCACTGAAGTGTGCCCCATTTGGCACCACAGCCGAGGGACCCTAAAAGGCAGCTCACCCTGGATTATGCACACAGGGATCATGGGACACTGAGAAAAACTTTGAAGGACATCCTGCTTTTACAGGGAACATTTGTGTAGCAGTGGGAGGTAGGAAGGTGATAGTGGAGGTGGATAGCAAAGGAGGAAAAGAATAAAGTTTAGAAAAAGAGGGAAAGAAATTAGAGTTGAGATATGGCATGGACATACATCTTGTTATGTCTCCCAGAAGCAAGAAAATTTAGAGGTGACATTATTGGGTTATGAGAACCTTAATGAGTGCATTAACAGAATTGAATGGATTAAGTAGGTGGTAACCATAGGTAGATAGGATGTGGCTGGAGGATGGGGGTCACGGTAGTGTGCCTTTGGAGCATATATTTTGTCCATTGGGAGGAGAGCACTCTTCCTAACCCCGTTTCTGGGTTATCAAGTCCTGAGCTTCTTTCCTGCTCCACACTCTTCCACGATGATGTTCTGTCTCACCCTTGGGGCCAAGGGTCTATAGATGGAGTTGGTCATCTATAGATTGAGACCTCTGAAACTATAAGTCCAAAATAAACTTTTCCTTCTCTACATTGCTCTTTTCAGTTCTTTTGGTCTCAATGGTGAAAAGCTGACTAAATAACCTTTTTTTTTTTTCAGTGCTGGGGATTGAACTCAGGGTTGCACTTGTTCATAGGCAAGTACTTTACCACTGAGCCACCTCTCTAGCCCATGAACCGGTATCCTTGGAATGCCAAATGACTGTGCTTGAGCTGGGAAAGCACTGGGAAGTCCATTGTTTCCTATCTCCTGCTAACATGTGTAAGAATGTTTACTCTGTTAATGTCAGGAAAATAAGAATGACTTATTTTCTGAAGATGGCATCATGAACTGGTGGAAATAACTTTGTGTCCATGGAGCAAAACCTTCAGTGTCCACCATACTATTCGTTCTAATGTTTGCTTAATCATGGTAATGATAAATGTGATATTTAATTACAGATACATGTGTATTTTTAATTGGAGCTTTTCTGGTCCATCTCACCTATCTAAGCTAACAAAGAGATTCTAGAATGGTCCTGTTTTAAATCTTACTATACAGGGCAGACTTCTTGGAGAAAGGAAATGCCATTCTCTGTCATGGGGGAATCCATTGTTCACAATCATCATTGACTGACCATGGGAGCCACGCTGAAGGCACCACGAAGGATGATGTGGGGTTAAGGAGGGAGCATGGGTACCATCAGGACAAACAGGCCAGGGAAGACAAGAGTGTGAAGGGTGAGATACATCTGTGACATTTCAAATGTGATCTCAGGGGAGCAAAATCCTAGAATCTATAGTTACAAGAATTGTAGTCGCAGCATTCATGAACATAAGTCCGATTGTTGAAGTCATATGTCAAGTTTCTGCAGAACTTCTGACACACCGTATATAACACCTGGAGAGTGTTATCTGCAATAGGAAAGAGTCATAGAAAAAGTCAGTGATCTAAGATCTAAAGGCTGGTCAAACTTGGCACCACTCAGGCAGCAGGGGATACATAGGGATGGTCTCCCAGCTTATATTTCCAAAGAACACCAAGTAGAAATTGCTGGCCAGTAGTGGCTGGGTTGTTTGCCAGTGTTCCTGGAAACTCTGCACACCAGCTTGATTCCTTTTCTTGCTTTGCAAATAGTGCTCTTGTGTAAAAATCTGGTGACCCATTTTTATTGGGAATATAGAATCTCCACCTATTCTGTCCCATTTCCCCAAGTCCTCTTCTGACTGCATACACATGGACCTGTGCTCTTCATGCTCAGGAGCACTCTGTGGTTTGGTTCTTCCCCTGGGTTTGCCACAAGTCTAAAATATAAAATTGCTGAGATACTCTCCTACTACTTATAAGGTTCTCACAGCATCTCCATGATCCTCTTACTTACTCTGGTAGATCTTTAGGCTCATGCATGACTCATTTTTCTTAGTATAACAAACACCAAATCCTCTTCTACAACGATCTGAACGTGTGCGAAGGTGGCAGATTATGCATCTTGTAGATGTTGCTTCTGGAGAGCACAGAGCTTGTTGTGAGATCAGGCAGAAGAAGAGAGTTTGCATGGAGCTGGAAATATTACACCTGCAGGGAGTGGGGTGGTTAGGGGGTGGGTGGTTGGATGAAGAGCCGGTGGTGGAGTATTTAGGCAGTACACCGTTGGACCTTTTACCAACTCCTCAATCCATAGGAATAAAAAGAAAATGCCATTATGCAAATAAAAGGACTCAGCTCTTTTAATTTGGGTGACTTTAAGCAAAAGGTTAGCCTTCATATGATTGATTTCTCCAGATTAATTTGATAAAAGTATGCAATGTACATGTATAAATATACCACAGTTAATTCCATCTTTATATCTATAATGCACTAATTATATAAAAATATAAGGAAGACAAGTAGAGTAGAGGAAGGGAAACAGGAGGAGGAAGGAGGGGAGGGAAAGGGGTGGCACTAGGGACTCAATTGGAGCATTATCCCATGTATGTTTGATTATGTCAGAACAAACTTCATGAAAATGGCAGATTAGAGAAGTTCACTTTCCTGGTTGCTCTGTGGCTGAATCAAGAATTCAGACACAACTTCTCAGCAAGATGAGAAAGGGGAACTTTTCTGGAAATTAACTCCAGACATTCAAAAATAGATCAGGGACTCAGGTGGTCAGCTTATAGAAAAAATGGCCAGTGCTACTGGTAGTGGCACTTGCAGGTGCTATCTTCTCTGTACTAAAAATAGTGGAGGGATACATCAATTAAAGGAACCCCTATTTTTAGGAGGTCTGAGGTGTGTCTGAATATGGAGAAATCAGAGATCAAACACACTGCCCTATTCACCTGAAAGGTGTCCTGCACAACTTTGTGTGGGAAAAGAAGCTGAACTGCTCCCGACTACCAGGGAAATCAGAGGAGGGAAGCATTTTTACATTTCACTGTGGGATCTGAATCCTGACAACTGTGCCTAACCAGAAAAACAGGTTTGGCAAACCCACACCACATGGCATAATGTGTGTCTAGTGACCAGAAGAAAATAAAATGTGGAGACGGGTTTATACAGGGGAGAACTGGTTGGGGAAACACACCAGAACCATCCTCCTCCACCCCCTCCAGAACAACAGTTTGATAGCTCAGCTAGGAGAGTTGCTAGAGAGTCCTGCCAGGCTGGGAGAGATGCACCCTGGTGAGAATTCAAAAGGCTAGGGGAGCCTAAACCCAAAAATCCACAAGTATCTGAGGGGAACAAGAAGAAACAGGAAGAAACTGGGCCCTCCACTACACCAGTGAAACTCAGGTTTTTTTCTTGGAGGAGTCTCCTAGCATGGTCTCGCAACTGCCCTGCTGGGAGGTGCACTGATTGAAAATCTTCAGATCAATCCACCATTAAAGGAAGAATCTGTAGCCTAAATGAACCTAAACTCTGTCCCCAGGAGTCCTGCCTAGGGATCTCCCTTCACACTTCAGCATCCCCACCTAATACATCTGAGAAGGGAAGCTGAGAATTTTTGAACTCCAACTGAAACAATCCTTTAACACAATCAATGAATTGGCAAAAGACCTGACAGACACTTCACAGAAGAAATATAAATGGTCAACAAATATAAGAAAAAAATCAACATCTCTAGCAATTATAGAAATGCAAATTAAAACTACACTGAGATTCCATCTCACTCCAGTCAGAATGGCAATTATCAAGAATACAAGTGACAATATTGGTGAGGATATGGGGGGAAAGGCTCACTCATACATTGCTGGTGGGACAGCAAATTTGTGTAACCACTCTAGGAAAGCAGTATGAGATTCCTTAGAAAACTTGGATGGAACCACCATTTGACCCAGTTATCCCACTCCTCGATTTATACCCAAAGGACTTAAAATCAGCATACTACAGTGATACAGTCATATCAATGTGTATAGCAGCTCAAGTCACAATAGTTAAACTATGAAACCAACCTGGGTGTGCCCTTCAATAGATGAATGGGTAAAGAAAATGTGGTCTATATACACAATGGAATACTATTCAGCCATAAAGAAGAATGAAATTATGGCACTTGCCAGTAAATGGATGGAACTGGACACAATCATGCTAATTGAAATAAGCCAATCCCAAGAACCAAAGATCAAATGTTCTGATATGTGGATGCTAACCCATAACAAGGGAGGGTGGGTAGGGGAAGAATAAAAGTTCATTGAATTAGAGAAATGGGAATGAAGAGAAAAGAGGGGGAATGAAAATAGAAAAGTCAGTAGAATGAATCAGACATAACATCCCAATGCTCCTATATGAATACACAACCAGTGTAACTCCATATCATGTACAACCACAGCAAATGGGCATACATTTATGAGTGGAAAGAATGTCCTAAGGGAAATCTTTCTGAATCGTGAGGACTGGTAGGGACAAAGGAAATAAGTAGGATGGAGGTGCAGTGATGTAGAGGCTTGTGCACCTGCAGGAGAGTGGTAGAACTTTGAGAAGAACATAAAGTTGGCAAGGAAAGCAGAGAGGCATTCGGAAGGCTGGTTTCTACTTTATGAATATGGTCAAAGCTCATCCCCACATGGACACAATTACACATGTAGAATTTCCCTGGAGCTCCCTGGATCCTGTCGCTGGATCCCCACTCCTCAGATCTGGGACTCACCCACAATGAGGCAGGTGAGGCAGAAGAGTGACAAGAAGCATTTGTTCATTCTGATCCAGAGGTTTCTTGTGCAGGGGAAAAGAAATAAGAAACTGGGGCTTGTAAGCACAGATCTTTAGGCTCTAGGGAAGAGACTTTCTCCTTTATCATAGGCTAGTGATTATTCATGCTTAATGGGAGCCAATAACACAAGGTTTCTTCCTGGAGCTCAAGTGCATTGATTGGCCTCCCCACAGCAGAAAATAACAGTAATAAAAAATAAGGTTCATTGTAGTAATCACAATTGTACCATAGTTCCCACAGGTAAATGGATCTAGGAAGCTTTGGGGATACCAAAATCCACAGGTGCTCAATATATAAAATGGTGTATTCACATATGACTTATGCGTATACTCTGGTAAATTTTAAATCATCTCTAGATTATTTGTAGTTCCTAATATAATGTAAATGATAACTAAATGGTATATTGTACTGATGAGGGAATAATGACAAGGAAAATGTCAGTACATGTTCAGTACAGATGTGACTAATTTTTTCCAAGTATTTTTGATCTGTGGTTGATGCAGAAGTTGTGGCTTTGAGGGCCACTCTGTTGTTGTTATTAATTATTATTCTCCTTATTTCACAGAGGAAGAAACTGAGACTTGGTGAGGCTTGGTGAAACAGAATTTTACTCATGGCAACACACTAGTGACAGAGTGTGAGTACTCATAGTAAGATTTTCTAATTCTGGAGTCCACACTTTTTGCCACTGTGATTCAATGCCTTTTTTGAGATTTATATTCAACAAATATTCGTGGAGAACTTTTAGATGATAGACACAGTTCAATGTGCTGAGGGAAGAGCAATGGATAGGTAGACAACCTTGTCTAGCACCTCTCTTTATAAGGGAGAAACAGGAGCATGAAAGAGACAAAAAGATGCAGAACCAGTGACAAGCTGAGCCTCCCATCTAGAACTTCTAATTCTTAACCCAGAACTCATTCACTCTATCAGAAATCTGTCCTGCAAAGCCAGAGAATGTTTGTTTTGTGGGGTTGTGAAATCCTCCCTAGAATTACCCACAACTTTATCTTTAGTATATTCATATTTTGAGTCTGGCCAGTTGTGCTCATGATTCAGGTGTCTAGCTCTATGAATGCTAACTTAGTTAAGGTTCACCCTGGGTAAAGCACTGGAAACTGAAAAATACTGGCATTCTAAGTATCCTAAACCTATTGCTCAGCTCATGGGAACTTGGCTGGAAATACCAGAAACATTTTTTTACTGAACTGATTTAATGACATATTCTTTAGGTGTAAGAAAAACATATTCATTAAAAGATGGTGAGTCTGATGTTTTGACACATCAGATGAAGATTGGATAGAATAAGGACTTGAGTGGAATGTCATAAAGTTTGCGACGTTTCCTTTCTGTGACTCCTCAGTGTGGAGCTTAAGAAGAGAATCAGAGCCTTCAAGACCTAGACATGAAAGAATTAGTTCCAATTGATTCTGTATGGAGAGTAAGGTTGTAAAATCTTTGAATCTCATTTCATATTCTTCCAGATTCCAGGAAAGGATAATAGAATCTATGGCATTTTTCAGAACATTCCTGTTTTTTGTTTTATACATATATATTTTCAAGTTGTTGATGGACCTTTATTTTATTCATTTATTTATATGTGGTACTGAAAATTGAACCCAGTGCCTCAGACATGCTAGGCAAGTGCTCCACCACTGAGCCACAACCCCAGCACACATTCCTGGTTTTATCAAGAAGGCAAACCCCTGAGCCTTTGGATCTTTAGTTCCCTCAGCCATTTTTTTGTCCCTTGATTTCTCTGCTTTATCCTCCATTTAAAGATACAGACACCAGAATGAGAACAAGGGAAGCAGCCATGGTGATCAAAATGCAGTGGGTTTACATAATGTCTACTCTTCTTCCTTCCTGCTTGTCCTTGGTAGATGCCCCTTGAATTTTGAATCTCCAGTATATCAGACTATTTCCAGTTAAAATTGTGGAATTTTGTCACTCTACCCAGATATCGAGATACTGTGAGGTAAATGCCATTCTTCTGTAATACCTTCTTAGATCAAATTTTCTCTTGAAAAAATAAGGTGGTTTTTCCCACCCCCTGGGGAGGTCTGGAGTCCTGTGGTTGGTCACTATATAACTCATCATTGTCTTTAGCAAGCCATTTATCTGTGATGTTAGATTTTGACCATTTTCACAACTATATCATTCTATGGTTCATGACATCAATTATGAGAATGGATACCAAGCTCTGTTATTCTGAAGTGCTTTATTTACAGAGTACCACTATCCACGATGCCACTGAGTTCTGGGGCACAACATCCAAATTAATGTATCCCCATGCCACAAATGCCCTCCTTTCAACATAGAAGCTGTTTGCTCTGCTCTGAGGAAGATAAAAAGAAACACTGTGTCCTTGTGCTCATGGTCTTTCTTGTCTCTGGGGTGGGTGACTGAGATATTGGTGACATCATGGATGAGCAGTCTTTGTTGGTACTTTGCTATGTAAATGCTCTCCTATGTTTTGAAGGAATGGCACAGAGTCAGGGATGGGGCTGTTTTCTTCCTGGGTTCCCAGAGGGCATCACTGGATTTATGGAGTGTAAATGGAGACTAGAGTGAGAGACAATGGCCTTTTAAAAAACTCTAACACATGGAGGGTGGGTGCCTGCTGTAGGGTCCAGGGAAAATTGGTAGAATATATACTCAGCACTCCCTCCCAACTCCAATTGCTTATGGGGAGAGAGGTAAAGGAAAAAGAGTGACACCAACATTTGTTGACTGCTTACTATGTGCCACACAAGCAGCTAACTGATTTCACATAGACTGTCTCATGGATCCCTCACAACAACATGGTGGTGGAATAACTGGGAAGGAGCAAAGATGGGATCCAAGCCTAGGTTAGGGTAACTCAAATTCAGATTTCTCCACATTGCTGTCAATGTGATACTTCAAATGAAAAATTACAATGGATAATCAAAAACTGCAAAAAGCCCTTTTTGGGACTTTTTTTTCATGCTGATTTGTTAGTATCTTCCCTTCATTCTTGAGCAAGTTTTACTAATAAGGGATTTGGTGTCTTGGTTTTGAGATACTATGATTTAGATGTGGTTTGTCTCCTATGTGATAATGTTTGGAGGTGGTGAGACCTTTGAAATGTGGGATTTAGTGGGAGGTCATAAATCACTAGAGGCATGTCCTCAGGAGAAACTAAAGTATTTCTCAAGAGATCCTTAGTTAATTTTCCAGAGAACAAGTTTTTATAAAATGGCCTCTCCCTGCTTTGGCTTCCTATCTTGCCATGTGATGTTTCTCACATGCTTTTCTACTATGCTACCATTTGCCACAATGTGATGTAGTCAAAGAGGTTCTCACCAGAGCCAGCACCATGCTGTTTGAACTCTAAACCCCTGAACTAAAGAAATCTCTTTCTGAAGTGTTCAGCCTCAAAAATTTCATAGAGTAACTGAAAAGAAACTAATACACAGGTTTGTAAATCTTAACAAAACACATTTCTATGTTTTATTAATTTCTAACTGATAAAAACAATGCCTTAGAGTATCAAATGTTGGCAACAAACCACAAGAATATTAGCAGTCCCTGAGATTTGGTTACCAATAGAAATGAGTGAAAGATTAGGAATTAAATAGTTTCATTTTTATTTTTGAACTTGCAGGGACACAAAGGCCACTCTGGCTTTATTTGTGTGGAAACTTTCTGATGAACCAATGTGTAAAGATAGACAAAATGAAAGAGCATCTCACTGTGTCTGTATTTCAGGATGTGGATTTTTTTTCCTGATAAAAATGTTCAATTTCAGAAAGTTGGCACATTCCTAACTGTAGCTTGGTTATTTTTATAAAACCTCTTCCCAGCAGGCTAAATGAAAAGAAGCTCCATATTATTGGGCAAACTTTAGTAAGCCATGTTAGAATTGGTTTGGGGATGCAAACAGAAGAAATCTATAATGTGTTTCCTTGTCAAATGGCATAGTTCATAATTCTTTTAAAAATTTGAAGCAGTCATTAAGGAACTGGCACTTTTGCCATTCTCCTTTATGTTTTACAATTTGGTAAAACTGAAGGTATTTTTAGACAAAGCCAGTTCGCCTTTATCCTTTTGATTTTGCTTGCTTTAAGCATACTGAAAACATCAAAGAATTCTTGTATTAGTTTTTTAAAATTTGTTTTAATTAGTTATACATGACATATTTTTATCATATACAATGTTGGCTGGGAACAAAAGCTTCTTTCTTTCTTCTTTTCACAGCTGGAGCCTCTACAATGCTGGGTAGCCAGCTAGTTTTGCCACTTTGGTAATAAAAAGAAATCTCCTCACACTGTGACCATTCATTACTTTGATGACAGGCACACATTGACTCTTCAGAGAACTCTAAAATAAATTTTGACATCAGGCCAAAAACAAACAAAACTCTCAGTTCTATCAGAAGTAGTTTTCTAAATCATTACATTTAAAAATTTTAATGGAGAACAAGAAGTCTTGTCTATCACATAGAAAGTTTCCTGGCTTTCAGGAGCCTGAGTGAACCTATTTTATTTTTTCCCCACATTTTTTATTGGTGCATTATAGTTGCACATAATGGGGGGCTTGTTGTTTTGTATTTATACATGCACACAATAAGAATACATATTCTTTTCAAGTTCATGTGGGACATTCTCCAAGAGAGGTCATATAGTGAGTGAATTAAAAAACAAATCCAAATACATTTTAGAAGACTGAAGTCAGATAACATTTGTTTTATTACTACAATAAAATTAAGGATCCACAAGAAAATTTGCACAAACCTCAAATATTTGGAAATGAAACAACATACTTCTAAACAATCCATGAGTCAAAAAAAGAAATCACAAGGGGAATTAAAATATATTTGGAACTGAATGGAGATGAAAACACAGTATATCAAAATCCATAGGTTGCATTAAATAAGGATACAAAAGTATGTATTTTCTGCTTTGAAAAACTATATCAGAAAAGAAAAAAGGTCTACAATCAATAATTTTTTCCTTAAGAAAC